GGAGTGACCTAGCAATTTTGTGCGATTTGGACCAATAGCTTTTAATGGTGTAGCTCAATGTCGCGCTACCGAAGTGCCACTTTTGCACAGAAATATAGGAAGGAATGATGCCGCATCAAGACCGCTTTTGATTGGTTACAGCCCAATGTAGCAGCTATGAAGTCCCTGCGAAAAGTCGCGCTACGTAGCGCAACAAAATGTGCACTGTAGCTCAATCTCACTCAGCTCAAAATCGCGCTGAAAATGTATCTCAGTGTGAATGGGGTCTAAAGGTAGCCAGGCTAGTGGGGCTGAGTGAAAGAAAATCACTTGATTCCCCCATTGACACATGCAATCACTGTTCTGTACCTTTTTTTTAATTTTGAAATCAAAGTTTGTGGAACCGGGTGGTGTTAGGGCCACCCGTGGCAGGAATCGTCCAAAATGTGAGCCTAGCATTAGTATATTGAGGCAGATTTGTGAACTAAAATAAACAATAGTGGGGATAAAGCGCAAGGGTGATGGTGATCCCAAAATATATATTGCTGGTTGTAAAATGATGTTTAATATGCACAGTGCTAGTCCTAGTCCTTTTTCACGGTGTGTGTTAAACATCCAAATAATGCTGCATTTATGCCCCCTGTTCCAATAAGGTGAACCACCCGAGGGTGCTCGCAAAACAATATTTACAATCGTAGGCCCCGTTCACACCGGGGCGGTTCAGCCAACATGAATGATCCTATACATTCCTATGGGGACCGTTATACGACTGCGCGGCTCAGCGCGATCCAAACCGCCCCCCACCCGAACTGCTCCCTAATGCTTTTTTGCTGCGCTGATCAGTGCAGTTTCCATACAGCTTTTAATGGAACCGCACTGATCAGCGCGGTTTTGGGTGTTTTTAATTGCATTTCATCGCTGAAACGCAATTAAAACCTCCCTTTTTGAAATCCGTGCGGAAACCTCGCTGATCCGCAGCCGCCCTGGTATGCACGAGCTCTGAATTAAACTTTCGAAAATTGCCAGTTCGCTAAGCAAAAAAACAAGAGCGCCAATCTTAAAGCTCAACTCTGGGTATAACGTATTATGCATACGCATTGGTTCAGCATGACCCAATGTAAGCATGCATATGCTATACCTGAGCGGCTCAGCTGGAGCGTCTGCAGTGCTTTACAGCATTTTGGGTCCTGATACTGCACTGGGCTGTCGCTTGCTTGGCACTCTGGCCATTCAGAGAATGCCTAAGGGTGCATATATAAAAGTTCCACCCATGTCATTCACATGGCAATAGCATAGTAGATGTGTCTGTGAAAGTTCTTATTCATCCAGGTCGTGGTATATCTGTAAAAAAATAAATCAAGGCAACTGGACTTGCTGTTTTTTGGAGGGTTTTTTTCTTGAATTTTCGCTGGTCATCTGTCTAACTTTCTCAATTTAAAATAAATTCTGAATTAGGAAAGCTAGTCGGGTGACCAGCAAAAAGTTTTCAAGGAAAAAAAAATACAGCAAGTCCATTTGCCTTCTTACAGATATCCCTAGATGGCTCTGGCGAGTATAGAAAATTCCTCTACTTGTCATCTTCATCTAGGGGCGCTAGTGACATGCCAATGGCAGCCAGGTGGAACCCCTAGTATTTTTATAAATGAATACAAGGCATTCTCTGGTTGGACGAGGGTTGTAATGTCAATGCTCTTCATCCAATTAAAGAATGCCATGTATTCATTGATAACCATTTTAAATGTTCTGCTGAATGACCACTGTGCCAAGCGAGTGACCCCATGTGTTTTCACTGCACAGGGGAAGCCACTCAACACTGCACAATACCAGGACCTGGAAGATTACTTTAAAGAACTGTAGTAGCTCCAGCTGGGCCGCTCAGGTATGACATATGCATACTTACATTGGGCCAATGTGGACCTATATAGGTATGCATAATAAGTTATACCCGGAGTTCAGCTTTGAAGGCATGTAAGAAAATAAACTTCTTACAATGTGCTGTCATTATTATTTATTATTATTTAGGATTTCTATAGTGCCAACTGTTTTTGTGTAGACCTTTTACAAAATGAAGGGAGTACAGTTACAATACTACTTCAATACAGGAGGGTTAAGAGGGCCCTGACCATGAGAGCTTACAATCTAGTAATCATATGAAAAGTCAATGCACGTAGGAGTACAGGAAGGGAAGCGGGGACTGTTACGGGGGGATGTCGGTGCTGGAGACTTTTAAGGATCCCTGACGTGGACTATTCGGAAACAAAGCATTCTTTCCTAATAAGTGTGTATAATGGGGAAGATATTTTAGTTGGCAGCGGGCCTCCTCTGGATTTACAGGAACAAGCCGTCCCAGTGAGAAATGATGTGCCCCCTGCAGTAGACAAAATGATTGCTGCTTCAGCGTACAATCAACCAGCGCACGAAACTCAGAACAATCTTTCCGTTGCAGCAATCTTATATTTTGTTTATTTGAACCCAGTGATGATCTTCTACCAGGATATGTTGTAACCATCTGTTTTCCTGTTTTTGGCTTGCAGATATGTGTTGCTGAGCCGAAGGGATTCGTCTCGTATTATGATCCCTGGTGACAGAGGAGGTGAGCGGTCATTAAGATAAATACTAGGTTTCTGTGCCTAAAATAAATGGCGTACGTAGGTGGCGGCTGCTGGGTCACCTTGCCACTCTCTGCCTGGCATTGGGGAGTGATTGGCGCGCAGTGTTCTTTGAACGCCTTGCTTCCAGAGAAGCTCTTTGCAGGGCCAGATGACTATATGCAGATAAACAGTGGTAGCAAATATTTATCTTCTTTCTTAATCTCTGGTTCTTATGAAGTAAGAGTAGATAGTTATTAAGTTGTTAACTCTGCCATATACTGTAGCCATGCTCAGCCCTATAGCAGACGATGCCCAGGTTAAAGTGACACTAAACTCAGGAGTTAAGCCTTAAAAATGCATTCAAGTACTTAAAGTGACATTAAACCCTCAGATTTTTTAACATAAACCAATACTGTAATGTGTGCCTTACTGTAATCCATGGTTGTTTCCCTTCTCTTTGCTGCTCTTCCTTTTTAAATCCTCATGTCTTCTCATGCTCTGCAGAACTTCCCTTTGCAGCTCAGGGCCTCTTCCTGTAGTGCTGGCTCAGGTTACAAGCCTATGCAAACGGATACACAGACACCGTGTATCCATTCCTGAGACAAGGCAGTCTGCTGCAAAACAGAAGTTCTGCAGAGCATGAGAACAGATACAGATTTAAAAGGAAGAGCAGCAAAGAGAAGGGAAACAACCATGGATTCCAGTAAAGCACACATTACAGTATTGTTTTATGTAAAAAAATCTGAGGGTTTAATGTCATTTTAACTATTAACAAAAATGTATCTTATTTGTGTATCACTGGGCTGTAGATTCTCAAATCATCTCTGAATTGGTGCTGACACTGTCCTTCCTTCTGGAGGGTGGCTACTTTTGTTCCTCTTGGCCCTGTGTGTGTTGTAAAGTAGCCATCGCTTAAGCTCGCTCCCGTGATGGACTACAATCTCAATACAAATTAGTTAACTAAATGAGAGATTGTAGTCCATCAAATATGTGTTAGAAAATATCCCCGCCACACACCCATACATCTAGGTTTCTGTGCCTAAAATAAATGGCGTACGTAGGTGGCGGCTGCTGGGTCACCTTGCCACTCTCTGCCTGGCATTGGGGAGTGATTGGCGCGCAGTGTTCTTTGAACGCCTTGCTTCCAGAGAAGCTCTTTGCAGGGCCAGATGACTATATGCAGATAAACAGTGGTAGCAAATATTTATCTTCTTTCTTAATCTCTGGTTCTTATGAAGTAAGAGTAGATAGTTATTAAGTTGTTAACTCTGCCATATACTGTAGCCATGCTCAGCCCTATAGCAGACGATGCCCAGGTTAAAGTGACACTAAACTCAGGAGTTAAGCCTTAAAAATGCATTCAAGTACTTAAAGTGACATTAAACCCTCAGATTTTTTAACATAAACCAATACTGTAATGTGTGCCTTACTGTAATCCATGGTTGTTTCCCTTCTCTTTGCTGCTCTTCCTTTTTAAATCCTCATGTCTTCTCATGCTCTGCAGAACTTCCCTTTGCAGCTCAGGGCCTCTTCCTGTAGTGCTGGCTCAGGTTACAAGCCTATGCAAACGGATACACAGACACCGTGTATCCATTCCTGAGACAAGGCAGTCTGCTGCAAAACAGAAGTTCTGCAGAGCATGAGAACAGATACAGATTTAAAAGGAAGAGCAGCAAAGAGAAGGGAAACAACCATGGATTCCAGTAAAGCACACATTACAGTATTGTTTTATGTAAAAAAATCTGAGGGTTTAATGTCATTTTAACTATTAACAAAAATGTATCTTATTTGTGTATCACTGGGCTGTAGATTCTCAAATCATCTCTGAATTGGTGCTGACACTGTCCTTCCTTCTGGAGGGTGGCTACTTTTGTTCCTCTTGGCCCTGTGTGTGTTGTAAAGTAGCCATCGCTTAAGCTCGCTCCCGTGATGGACTACAATCTCAATACAAATTAGTTAACTAAATGAGAGATTGTAGTCCATCAAATATGTGTTAGAAAATATCCCCGCCACACACCCATACACTCCACAATAACATTAAAGTGCTGAGGAGGTTCAGAGACTCAAACATGTCTACTAATAGTTGTTCTTTGCCACACACTGTTCTGTGTTCTGCCCGTAGACTTCACTTCAAAAAGAATGCATTGTATTTAATTTTGCATGGATCCCTTTTAATAACCAACACAATGATGTGCTCCTTGCACTACCTGACATACAGATGGCCAGCAGAGGGCGCATCATCTTCTCTTAATATGAAATCTCATAAAAATGTGACCCAGCCAAGGAGTTATGTCAAATCTTTCATTCGGGTAAACCACAATCAAAATTTAGTATTCCGTGTTGATGAAAGTTTAATGATTTGCTGATTTTTATCTTTTATCATTTCTTTTTTTTTTTCTGCTTCTGTAACTTTAGATTTCTGATTTCCAGATACACAGATCTCTGTGATGTGATGCCACCCGGTCTGATTCTCCCTTGACTCTTCCCTATGATCCGGCCACCATGTTTGTCTTCACACCCCACCTCATCTGGGCTTTACTGCTCCCCGTTCTGCTGTCAGCAGACTCCTCTGCCCCCGGCTTCTCAGAATGTGTCCCCGATGAAATACCCAACATGGTGGTAGATGTTCCAAATTCCGTGGCTAAAGGTGCCCGCTTTACTGACCCTCTAAACGCTGCAAATGCGGAGGAGTGTGCGTCTGCCTGCTGCTCGAAGCTAAACAGCTTAGGTGAGTACACCTAGGATATAGTGTAATGCAGTGGCGTAACTATAGCCATAGCATCATGGGGGCCCCCTCATCACATTTTTGCTATGGAGCCCCATGATCTGTAGTTATGGCCCTGGTGTAATGATATAAGGATAGCTTAGGGCCAGCTTCCTTAAAGGAAAACTCCACTTCCATTAAAACAGTTATATTATATTGCTAAACAAGCCATTTTTTAATTTAGTGACATTAAAATTTACTTATTTTTGACAGCTGTGACTTTCTAAATTTAGGGGGCCCATTAACATCTATGCGTTATAGGAACATGTGCATTACATGCATTGCCACATCACGGTGCCATTCATTTTGAATAGCACCCTAACCCACTAAGGCATTGCATCTATTACAGAGCACTGCAACACATGGCAATGTACCGTGGCGCATTGCATTACGTTCCGTTTAAAAACTGTGGAACATCTGATTTTTGTAGTATTTTGGTGCATTGGCAGCCCATTATTTTTTAATAGGCTGTTTTAATGCAAATCATGATACTGTGGGACACTCGTCAACACATTTGCATTAATGCACTGCAGAAATGTAAATGGTCCCTAAAATGTCCTTTCAAACATGACATCCCTAAGGAAATTGTGTATTCGTTGGTTCTGCTCTGTAGGGCTCATACACACTGGTGCCTAGGGCTGTTCAACATAAAATGTGGGCGTATTTCCTGGCCGGGGAGCCAGGAAAAATGTTCTCTGCGTACAACCACGCAGAAATCAATGGCTGCATTTGGCTGTACGTGCCATACAAACATAACTCAAGTCCAGCATATACCCAGTGTACAGCCACAAACAGCCTTTAATTTCTATGAGCGGCTGTATGTAGCTCCCAAGAAGGAAATATACCCAAGATATACGTTGCGTGGCCCCAGGCCCTCACATGCAGGATCTCCAATTGGCTCACTGCTTTCTCATCATTTTTTGTTTTTGTTTTACAACACAAAAAGCAGACGGGCATCTGGTATTTTTAGGAGAAAGTCATCAATGGAGGCCCACACACAGAACTTACTGTACAGTACAGGTTTCCTCTAATCTAGAAATCTGATCACATTTGATTTTTCTTTCCAGGTGAACAAACCTGCAACCTTGCAGTATATGACAACCGAATCAGAAATGCACTGCAAAACTGTTACCTGTTCTTCTGCCCCAAGCCGGAATCCTGCCCCATGACCCAATCCCGTGGGGTTGTGAGTTTCTCCTTCTGGACAGGTTGGTAGAGGAGAAACAATTTTTTGTTGGATTTGGGCCTTCAACAGTCATTTTGTAGCGGTCTGTTTTCTGATACTTTGTGTGGAGTTGGTGATTGTGATTTTGCTTTTTTGTTTCAGCGAAAGAAAAGAGTAATCTTGACTTAACGGAGGATTTGCTGGAGAGCCCAAAGTCTAAAAACAATGGCAAGGTGCAGAACTCTTCACATAAGAAGTCGAGTGCGGTCGTCCAGGGAACCTTCTCTCCAGAGCCAGAATTTGAGGAAAGGTTGAGTCAACATGATGATGCGATCAGGAAGGACTCTCCATCTGATGAGTCTCAGAGCAATATGAGTGAGGTCAAACCTCTCACTAAGGAGGACAAGGCTAACACGCCTGACCATATCACTTCCAAGTTGCTTCATCTGGCCAACAACATAGACAAACAGTTGGAGAAAATTGAAGCCAGCTCTAAGAACGTAAAAGACTCTGAGGAGGTTGAACTTTCTGTCTCGCCATCAGATGAGGAGCCTTTGGTGGAACCAACGACAAGTTCCAGACACAAAGATTCAAAAAAACTTTCTTCTGACTCTAAGGACACAAAATCTATTAATAAAAAACCTGAGACCCTTGAGATCCATTACCCGACACCAAAGCTCATTGCATCAATTCCATCTGTTAGGACTTCACAACAAATCAGCAAAGCTGCCCATCGTCCCATCCCAAACACCAAGCCCACCATAGTCTCTTCCACTGCCCCAACAAGGCAAAGTAAAGTTACTAAAAAAGCACCAGGCTCTGATATAAAGGGCACCAAGGTTCTTTCAAATCACAATAGTGCCAATTCTTTCATCACAGCTGTCACTGCGAAGAACTTGCAGGCCGGTCATCTTATTAAGACCACTCAGGTTCCAACCAGCAGTGCTGTCTATCAAGCCAAATCTACCCTTCCAGTAAAGACTTCACTCTTGAAGACTGCCAAATCTACTCTCAAAGATGGTGACCATACCTTTACCAACAAGGACATGCAAGAAGCGGACCGATCTGTTCCTGAGCTTACTTCCCCAGAAGGGCAGGATCCTTCTCCTACTGGGGACACAAAGGAAGTCCCTCGAAATCTTGATGCTCTTAATACCAACTTGGGTGACAGTGACAAAAGTGGCTTGGTGGCCGCTTTAGTATTTGGGGTGATGTTTCTTGTGCTGATCATTGGTCTGGTCAGTCACAAAGTATCTGAAGCGCGGCGCCGCCACCAGTACACCAAACTTGACTATCTGATCAATGGAATGTATGTCGACACCTGAGACGTGGGTAGTATAATAACATTTTCACATTGAATTCCTGACCGGATGTGCTGCTACAATTAAAGATGACCACAAATCAGAATATAAAAACAGGGAATTCTTCAGGACTTCGCACTGGCTACATGGGGCATTTTTTTTTTTTTTTAAATCTTCTAAAACTGAAAGCATAAAGGTATCCATGATGAAGACCTAATAGGACCTGTCATGGTGACTATTGCTTTTCACAGAGCCTGCCATTGCCCGACTCCCGAAAATGATGCTAGAGCACAGAGCGGGTCTATGTATTACTGTGACTACAACTGCTACATGAGTCATGCAATACGAGCCTCAGCCAGGGGAAGAGAACGACCATCCTAACCGGTTACCTTTTAGGGTGCATTGACACCAAAACACCAAAATCGGAAGGAAATCGCAAGTCAACGGAGGGTCCATAGACCTGCAATTGTACCTTCATATATTTACTTCCGATCCGTTTTTATGGATGCTAATGGAAGGATACTGAAAAATGTTCACACCAGATCTGTTACAGTACTTTTTTCAGCACAAAGTAACGCATTTTCTGCTTTCTTTTTTCAGCATAACGGAGCGGTGTGAAGTAGCCCCATTCACACCCATTCATTTATCTGTGCCCTTCCGTTGAAAAACGTAACGCAACAGATCACAATGCAATGGATGCAGTGTGAATGGGCCCTTAAAGTGTATCTAAACCCAAGAACACAAATATAATTATCTGTAAAAAATAAGACAAGGCAACTGGACTTGTATTTTTTTTTTAACGTTTTGTTTGGTCATCCAACCAGCTTTCTCAATTCAGAATGACTTGTACAAAAATTATCTTGTAATAAATATGGTGAATGTTGCTCCAATCCACATAATCTGTTAGTGGCAACCAGGTGTATATTGCATTTCCATAATTGGAACCTAGGAGGTGTTAATAACCTGCCCAGAGAGAGGTGGTAAAACAGCATTGTATGTGGCAGACAATAGATGTCTCACCCCCCCCACCTCTACTAAGCTTGACTTCTCCATTTTTACATAAATGGCCTCTTTCACACCTCTTTTGAACCAGTCCTCCTCCCTGTCTAGGATGCCTATTTGATTGTCTTCAAAGGAGTGACCTTTTTAGGTGTAGGTATACTGCCGGATCCTGACCAGAGGGTTTGGCTCTTCTATGCTGTGCCATACGCTGGTGTAGCTGCTGTTTTGTTTCACCGACATACAATTCTGAGCACTCCTCACTGCACTGGACTGCATACACAATGTTGTTCATCTTGTGTTTTGGTGTTGGGTCTTTTGGGTGAACCAGTTGTTGCCTCAGTGTATTGCTGGGTTTAAAGCAGACAGGGATGTGATGTTTTTAAAAAACCCTTGTTGAGTTTCTCGGACACCCCAGCTACATATGAGATGACCAAATCCTCCCGTTTGTCATGCTTTTCACCCTCACTGGTACTCTTGGCATTCTTTCCTCTTCTTTCTGTTTTGACAAAAGCCCAGTCTGGATACCCACAGGTTTTAAGGCCCCCCCCTGAACATTCACCATATTTATTCCCAGATAATTTTTGTACAAGTCATTCTGAAGTGAGAAATCTGGTTGGGTGACCAGTGAAACGTCTTTAAGAAAAATACAGCAAGTCCAGTTGCTTTGACTTATTTTTTACAGATATACCATGACCTGGATGAATGAGAACCTTCACAGACACAAATGTTCTCATTTCAGCTTATCAGTCCTTATCTTTTAGATGTGGCGGATGCATTTATTTTCTTTTTTCAGGCTAACATTTTCAGTAATTATGGAAAATACCTGTTATCTGGACAGAAAAGCAGTGTCCATGTCACTTCATGTAAGCTGAACTGAAATCACAATGTTCCTTCTGTCAACTACTAATGTCTTCTACCCCCTCCATACAATAGAGATGAAGGCATGTTTATACACCCAGGTACTGGAAGTGTGTTATTTGCAGGATCACCAGGTGAAAATTAGGGAAAACCCCTAAATAAAGAATGCTCATGCAGCCTTCTCTAAGGACTGGTAAGCTGCTATATTAAATGATTTGTTTTTGGGTTTAGTTATACTTTCAATTTTTATAGAAGTCTATATACTAAGGTCCCCAAGGCTCAGATGTGAGTTAAACTCTCAGCTAAATCGTTCCCTAGTGAGTAGGGTGGCTTATGGAACAGTTTCCTGTTTCTGCTCAATGGCTGACTCCACAGTGCTTGTACAACAGGCATGGAAGAAATTCTTAGGCCTCATACACACTAAGAGCCGGCCTGTACAGATCGGTGCGGTGTGCACGGCCGTATCGGGCCGCTCCCGGCTGCGTGTGATTGTACGCAGCAGCCTGTTTTTCTCTATGGGAGTACATGGCCGTATGCTCACCCGAATTGCAAATCCGTGCGGGTGTCCATGCTCGGACGCAGATAGGATCCATCCTGTCTGCGTACGATTACGGACATCTGCACCCGCACGGATACGCAGTTCAGGTGAGCGTACGGCTGCATACTCCCATAGAGAAAAACAGGCTGCTGCGTACAATCACACGCAGCACCTGTCCTTCCCGGAAGCTGCCTGATACGGCCTTGCACGGATCTGTACCTAAAAGGATGAGAATGAGGCCTAAAAGGAAACATATCACGTCGATCATAAATAAACCTGAACAGTAGCTGCTTATCTGCGTCTGGATACACTGTTGGGAGAAAAGCAAACAAGCCACATCAGATTTCAGCCTTTCTTGGGGGTAGCAAAGTCCCTTCACAGGGGGCACAACAAGGATAACACTGGATACAAAGACTAAAAATAAGTTCAGATGCTGGAACTTCAATTTGTGACTTCAGTTCACTAACTTCTGGACCTCATATTTAAAAAAAATGAAATACAAACGGGACACAGACTGATAGAAGTTTAATGGGTTATTTTATCATCACAGGAGCCCTTATTTATTTCGGAACGCTGAGTTTCTGGAGATTCAGTTTATTCAGTTATTATATTTTTTTTTTTCTCCCCCCTCAACTTGAAAAAATATTTTAATAAAGGAGATTTAACCCCGATTAACAGTGTTTTCTACTGTTGCATTATGGGTAAAAATCCCAGCTATTGCTGACCAATGGGGCATCTTGCGTAGCTCACAATGGCGCGATAAACTTGGCACACTTAAAGCAGTTACAAAAGCAACTGCTCCATCTTGCAGGTTTTTCTTGTTCATTGGGAAAATCTGATTGTTCACGTGTCAGGGGAAGTACAGCGTCCACTGTACTTCCAGGCCGCTCGGATGTAAGCACTGCAGATCTCACAGACCCCGGCGCTGCGGTCGTGTCTCCGCCTCCCTCTCCTCCTGGCCCATTCACAAAATGAAGCCCTGGACTGTGTGCTTTAAGAATGGCCTAGAGGAGAGAGAGGGAGGGGAAGACATGACTGCAGCACTGGGGTCTATGAGATCTTAAGCCAGGGGTGGGCAACTCCAGCTTTGCTTTTAACTACAAATCCCATCATGTTTCTGCCTCTGGGAGTCGTAACTGTCAGTCTTGCAGTGCCTCATGGAACTTGTAGTTCCACAACAGCTGGAGGGCCGTAGTTACCCACCCCTGCTTTAAGATATCCCCCCAGGTTTTCTGTGCCTTCTGTCCCCATAGGTTCTCACTGACTGTACTAGTGCTGATATAATATAAAAAAATGGTCTGGCTACCTGAAATTAAAAGTAGAGAGCAGGACCTGGCAGTGAAAGGGTTATAACCTATTACTCTCATTGTCACATTTAACAACATCTCTTCTAGGCTATGAAATTAGATATTTTGTGTACCTAACCAATATTGTGGAGATGCAGTCAGTCGTTTCAAAAGTAGTGACATCACTAAGCTACAGAAAAAGAGTGTTTTCATAAAATGAGGGCAAAGTGATAAAAAGGCCAATTTCTGCAGCTGTGTTCTGAATGCCTTGTATATTAGTCCCAAGTTAATAGATTTCAGTGGCTATAACAAAGCTTTCTTTCACACACACACACGCCGGATGGTTACTCCCATTGTTCCGCTCCAGGAAATGGTAATAAAAAAAGATCATATGATCAGGGTTTGGCTCTGCAGCTCATTCATACAGCCCTGCAAACCTTGTGACACCCTTTTCATAATTTGTTTACACACATCTAATTATAGTTTGTCAAAGAAGGAGGGGTGACAACAGGCTGCTGGGGTGTTAGTCTTCCAACAAAGAGACGCATTGAAGATATCGCCCTCTGTTGGCAGGTATGTGTAAGTGTATCTAAAGGCTTGTGTAATAGACATTTGCAGGAAACTAGAACTGTAGTCTGAAGCTAACCATACACTACTCCAATTTTGGTCCTGCTGATTCGTCCAAATTCGAGAGGTGTGTCAGCACCCCTCCATTCGACAAGTCACTTTTTCAATCAAAGGAGCCTCACGTCAGTCCTCAGGATTTTTCAAAATCCTTTGCACAAGCTGAACTGCTGAGGCACAGTGGCTCATTAAATCACAATGAGGAACGTATGTCTGTATAGATTGCACCCCATGTGATGGTATGTTACTGGTAACAGGTCCTCTTTAAGAAGACATTGGGTGTCTATTAGACTCTTGCCGTTCATTGAAGCTGATCAAGCACAGAGGCTGGGAAATGACAGTTCAGAAACCGAAAGGGACAAAATCATTGTCACTTTTGGGTTCATTCTGCAGGGAGGAGATCAGAGATGTCTATTCACTGGTCTCTTCCTCTTCTTTCAGATGCCAGTCCCAGGCCTTTAGGAGGGGCAGCGGAGACTGGGAAACATGGCAGGGGGAGCACCTTAGGCAGCCTGTGCAAGCGTTGTATATAAACAGACTCCTGGCTGCTCTAGTCTACTTACTGAGCCCCATTACTGCCGACGTATGGCATACATCAGCAGAAGGGAAAGGGTTAAAGGGCAGTACATTCCAATTTTAATGTATTTTATATTTTACCATTGAATTGGTCTGATATAAATAATGAAAGAAAAGGTAGAAATTATTTTTTCACTTCAATACATGCACATTTCCCCTGTGTGTT